GGCTGGGGATTCGAACCCGCCACCTTAGGTGTACGTGGCTGGCGCCTTAGCCGGTTGAGCTATAGGCGCTGAGCCAACATAAAAATTTTTAAGGGTGGTATACTTTGACTATAATTAGTCCAAATTATCTTTCTCCCTCGTTTCTCTTCTGTATGAGAGGTACTTGATTAAAAAAAAAATAATGGAGAGTCATAGTTTTTAAAAAGCGAATATCAGGAAAGAAACATTCTTCTATTATATTTTTTCATCATAATTAAGTATCAAGTATTATTTTATTTTTGCACTATAAAGAAATTTAAAATTTTTAATTATAGGTCAGGTTTATAATAAAGAAATGAAAATAAGGGCCAGACGCAGTGGTTCACGCCTGTAATCCTAACACTTGGAAGGGTGAGCTGGGTGGACTGCCTGAGCTCATGGGTTCGAGACCAGCATGAGCCATAGTTAAGATCTAGTCTCTAAAAAAGGCTGGGCATTGTGATGGGCACCTATAGTCCCAGCTACTTGGGAGGCTGAGTTCCAAGAGAACTGCTTGAGCCCAGGAATTTGAGGTTGCTGTGGGCGGTGACGCCACAGCACTCTACCAAGGGTGACAAAGTAAGACTCTGTCTCTAAAAAAAAAAAGAAAGAAAGAAGAAAGGAGGCAAAAAGGGAACAATTTAATTTCCATAATGCTTGGAGGAAATCTTTTTTTTTTTTGAAGAAGGGAATACCATTTTGTTATAGAAGTTCATTATTTATTTTTAAAGGACTTTATCAGTATATTAGTTCTTAAAATTATTTTTACTTATTAGAAAGGTATATAATTTCCATGACATTGCTAGATAAAACATAATGATGGAAAGATGGTCTAGCAGTTTAGTGGAATATACTAGAAATTCAAAAGATCTGGATTCTAGTCCCAGCCTAATAGGAAACCAGCTCCAGAGCCTTAAATAAATTACTTATGTCTCAGTTTCATCATGCAAAAAGTGAAACTAATTAACATTCATGCTGCATACCACTGAAGATAAAACAAGAGAATAAATTTTATAGTGTGTTACTTCATACTTTTAAGATAATTCTGCAAGAGAAATACATTTTAACCTAACAGCTGGAATGAAAATGTTAGATAGCTTCTTCCCCAAGTTCATGCAGTCAGGAGTGATGAGCTCTGTCACACCAAAGTGCTGTGTGGGTACAGTACAATAGAAGGATCCCAGCTTCAGAAAAATGAAAGTTGTTAAGTATAATTTTGCTCCAAAGTTTAGTAGTCAGGGCTGGGAATTCCTAAGGATCTCTTCTTCTGTGAGCTAAAACTGTAATTCTATCATAAAACAGAATTTCTTAGAAAGCTCTACACAATACATTTCATAAGCATAAAACGTAAATGTATTATGAAATACTACTTACAAGAACTTCATAGTCAGGGATAGTATGGGTTCCAAGTCCAGTCCTGTCAAAAGTTACTCTGTAAGTAGCATTAAGAGTATCCACAGCATCTATTTGTCCAGTGAACAGACCATCATGAACACCACGTAATCGTGCTGAGAAAAGAACAAAGGCATTATGATGTTTGGGAGATGGAAAATTATCAAATATATTCAAGCATGCAATTTAGACCACAGAAAGTATAGTATTATTGACTATTAGAGTTTAAAATAAGCACATACTTTATTTTAGGTTTAGAGAAATAAAAAAAATTTTGAAACCAAAACCAAAACTATAAATGGTGATTCCATTATATTGATCCCATTGCATATTGTATACTGATTTGATATACAAATGAAATCAAATAACTACCAAACAAAGAGAAAAATATTTTAAAATCATTTGGGGTTTAAACCCCTGATTGTTAAAAAGTCAACAAACAATTTACGTCATTATACGTATGAATGAAACAGCAGTAGTGTAATTTATGATAATAATAATAATTTTAAAAAGATAAAGTGCAGAAAAGAATTAATATAGCAGGCCTGAGACTGCTATTCTTAGAAAGATCTGCTTGCAAGGTTGGCCCTAGACTGGCATCTAGAAATTTGGATTTCAGAAGTGTTTCCATTGTTCCCTAATTTATACAGATAGTTTACTGTGTCTAGATTGTTTGTGCAAACACTGTGGTTAATGCTGGACCCCGGCTTTCTTTATGGGAGTCTGGAATTTCAGTATTTGCTAGGCAGAGTTTGACAACATGACAAACCCCCAATAGAAATTCTGATCAAATTCTCTAATGAGCTTCCGTCGTTTCTAAAGCAGTGGTTCTCAACCTTCCTAATGCCATGGTCCTTTAATACAGTTCCTGTGGGTTGCAACCCACAAGTTGAGAACCGCTGTTACAGAGGAATTAAGCAAGTCCTGTGTGACTCTACTGGGAAAGGTCTCTTGAAAACTTGCACCTGGTTTCCTCTGGGCTTTGCCCCACACACCTTATTCCTATGCTAATTTTGCTTTGTATCTTTTACTGTAACAAATCTTAGCCATGAGCACAAGTATATGCTGAGTCTTTCTAGTGATTCACCAAAACTAAGGGTGGCCTTCAAACTACTGACACAGATGGAGTCTTTGTGTCACTATTATTTAAGTCTCACCTAAAATAACATCAGAGAAATCCAAACAAACATCCAGCTGAGTGAAAATGTAAGAATAGTAGCATTTAATACTTATCTCTGGACAAAGTGATACATTTTATACTGACCAAAAGGTACAATATGCGTTATCTTAATAGAACAGAAACATACAATGCAAAACTGTTTAAAATAAAAGGTTAATTGATAAAAATACAACTGTAGGAAACTAAAATATCACTCTCAGTCTCTGACAGAGCAATTAAGGGAAAAGTGAACATGGATACAGAAGATATGAGTATTAAGGTTGAATAAACAAACATAGAAAAAGACTTCTAGTTATGGCAACTTGAAGAGGTTGGTAATTCTTCTCCACAAAAGACAAGTATAAACCTGAACAAGATTGTCAAACCACCATTCCAGAGTACTGGAAATGCACCAAACACAGAAAACAATTCAGAAGTGTTTACTGTTGAAAACTGACAGAACTTCAGGTTAGGACAGGGAATCAGTGACCAAAAATTACTAGATATGTAAAGAAAGAGGAAAGCATGGGTCTTAGTATAGTGAGTAGCAACTGACAAAGATAAAGGATTTAGCCAAGACTAAAAAAGTAGCTATTATAAATATGCTCCCAGACTTATGGATCACAATGACTCAACAGGGAATTTCAGTGAGAAATAGAAACTATATCAATGAGCCAACTGGAAATTCTAGAGATAAAGAGTATAATCACAAAAATGAAAAATTCACTAGAGAGACTCGATTGTAGGTTTATGATAGCAGAAAGAATTGGCTAAGATTTTAGATAATATATTAGCAAGAATATTTTTTAATTGACAGATATTTGTTCATATTTACCACATACAACCTGATGTTTTAAAGTATACACACATTGTGGAATGACTAAATCTAACTAATATCAGATACATTACTTTATATCATCTTTGTGGTAAGAATACCTTGTAGCAACTCTCTTAGCATTTTTTAAGAATATATGAACTATGGTCACCACATTTTACAATACCTCTCCTGAATTTATTCCTATCTAACTAAAGTTCTGTATCCTTGACCAACATCTTTTCAACCTTCCCTGCAACCACACCAGCTCCTTATAACCACCGTTCTGCTCTCTTACTTTTGAGATCACACGTTTAAGTGAGATCACACAGTATTTCTCTTGCTGTGCCTGGACTGTTTTACTTAACATAATGTCCTCCAGGTTTATAAATGTTGTTGCAAATGACAGGACTTCCTTCTTTTTATAGCTGAATAATATTCTACTCCGTATATGTGTGTAGATACATACCACGTTTTCTTTATCCATTCATCCACTGGTGAACACTTGGGCTGATCCCATAAACTGGCTACATAAATAATGCTGAGATAAACATGGGAGTGCAGGTACCTCTTCAACATAGTGATTTCATTTCCTCTGGATATATACCCAATAGTGGGACTGCTAGATCATATGGTAGTTCTTCTTTTGTTATTTTTTAGGAACCTCCATATTGTTTTGCATATTAACTAATTTACATTCCAATTAAGAGTGTGTAAAGATTCCCTTTTCTCCATGTCTTTGTCAACAGTTATCTTTTGACTTTTTTTTTTTTTTTTGAGACAGAGTTTCATCACATTGCCCTCGGTAGAGTACAGTGGCATCACAGCTCACAGCAACCTCAAACTCTTGGGCTTCAGTGATTCTCTTGCCTCAGCCTCCCCAGTAGCTGGGACTATAGGTGCCTGCCACAGTGCCCAGCTATTTTTTGTAGTTGTCATTGTTTGGCAGGCCTGGGCTGGATTTGAACCCGTCAGTTCTGGTGTATGTGGCTGGTGCCCTAGCTGCTGAGCTACAGGCACCGAGTCTTTTTATTTTCTTCTTTAAAGAGAAGTTTATTTTTTTAATCTTTTAAAAATTTTATTTATTTCTTTCTTTATTTATTTATTTTTGAGACAGATCCTTAAGCTATCCCCCTGGGTAGAGTGCCGTGGCCTCACAGCTCACAGCAACCTCCAACTCCTGGGCTCAAGTGAGTCTCCTGCCTCAGCCTCCCAAGTAGCTGGGACCACAGGCGCCTGCCACAATGCTCGGCTATTTTTTGGTTGCAGCCATCGTTGTTTTGGCGGGCCCAGGCTGGATTCAAACCCGCCACCTTAGGTGTATGTGGCTGGCGCCTTAGGCACTTGAGCCACAGACACCGAGCCTATTTATTTATTTTTTGAGACAAAGTCTCGTGTCGTAGTGTCATAGCTCACAGCAACCTCAAACTCTTGGCTACAAGCAATTCTCTTGCCTCAGCCTCTCAAGTAGCTAGGGCTACAGGCACCTACTGTAACACCAGGCTATTTTTTAGGGACAGGGTCTCACTCTTGCTCAGGCAGGTCTTAAACTCCTGAGCTCCAGCAATCCACCCGCCTCGGCCTCCCAGTGTGTTAGAATTACAGGCGTGAGCCAACCCACCCAGCCACTTTTATCTTTTAGGTAAAAGCCATTCTAATAGGTGTGAAACTATCTCATTGTGCTTTCAATTTCTATTTCTCTGATAATTAATGATGTTGAACACTTTTAGCCATTTATTTGTCTTCTTTTGAGAAATGCCTATTTAGTTCCTTTGCCCATTTTTTTTTTTGGCCGGGGCTGATTTTGAACCTGCCACCTCTGGCATATGGGGCCGGAGCCCTACCCTTTTGAGCCACAGGCGTCCCCTTTGCCCATTTTTTAATCAAGTTTTTTTTTCTTTTTTGAGACCAAATCTCACTCTGGTGCCCTGACTCAAATGCTGTAGCATTACAACTCATAGCAACTGCAAATTCTTGGGCTCAAGAAATCCTCTTGCCTCAATTTTTTCTATTTTTAGTAGAAACAGGGTCTTCCTCTTGCTCAGGCTGGGTCTCAAACTCCCGAGCTCAAGTACTCCACGCACCTTGGCTGCTAATTGAATTATTTTTTTCCCTAATATTAAGAAGAATTCCTAATATATTTTATATGGTAACTCTTTATCAGATATATTGTTTACAAATATTATATTTTCTCACATTTTGTAGGTTGTCACTTTACTCTGCTGACTGTTTTTCTACACAGAAGGTTTTTAATTTGATATAATCTCATTTATCTATTTTGCTTTGTTGGCAAAACTATATTCTGACCTATTAAAGATAAACCAATAGAAATTATTCCAAAGAACAGAGAGAAAATGAACAGAGACTCAGAGGCCATGTGGAATATGTCAAGTATACAAACATACTTATGATAACAGTCCTGGGAAGGAAGGAGAGAAAAAACCATGAAAAAAAATATTTGAAGTAGCTCAGCTCCTGTAGCTCAGGCGGCTAGAGCGCCAGACACATACACCAGAGCTGGCAGGTTCAAATCCAGCCTGGACCAAAAAATAGCTGGGTGTTGCGGTGGGCACCTGTAGTCCCAGCTACCTGGGAGGCTAAGGCAAGAGAATTGCTTGGGCCCAGGAGTTTGAGGTTGCTATGAGCTGTGACAACATGGCACTCTACCCAGCGTGACAGCTTGAGACTCTGTGTCAAAAAAAAAAAATTTGAAGAAATAATGAGCAAAAATACCCCATATTTGATGACAAAAATTTACCCCACACACCCAAGCATCTCAATGAATCCCATGCAGGATAAACACAAAGATTACACTTAGATACATGATAGTGAAATTTCCAAAGTCCGATAACAAGAGAAAAATGACTTATCACATGCAGGAGAGCAGTAGCACAAATAACAGGTTTAATTTCATCAGAAACAAGGCAGGCCAGAAGGCAGCAGCATAATATATTTGTAATACACATGACAGTGGTAAAAGGAAGGTAGGGAAAGTGAAGCTACATTGAAATAAAGTTTGTAGGCTCGGCGCCTATAGCTCAACCGGCTAAGGCATCAGCCACGTACACCTAAGGTGGCGGGTTCGAATCCCCAGCCCGGACCCGCCAAACAACAATGATGGCTGCAACCAAAAAATAGCCGGG